TACATTGCACAGAGTCCAAAACCCAGCAGTGCTGATCAGGCTCTTACTGTTTCTAAGATTGTACATGAAGCTCTCAGGGATCAGGGAATGATCTCGTATCTCGGACTCAAACTTTGATTTTTCTCCTGATTCTCGCAAGCATCAGGGAAAGTTAAAAAACGTCTCTGAGAACCACTTTTTTCATCTCTCAAGAGAGTGTTCTAAGGAAACAGGCAATGGAGTTGGGCACTTAGGCTTATCTAAAACCTATGAGGCAAAAGAATATGGTCACTCCACTTCTTTTTTTTTTTTTTTAAGATTTATTTTATTTTTGAAAGACAGAGTTACAGAGAGTTAGAGACAGAGAGAGGTTTTCCATCTGCTGGTTCACTCTGCAGATGGCAGCAATGACTGGAGCTGAGCCAATCCGAAGCCAGGAGTAGGAGGTTCTTACGGGTCTCCCATGTGGGTGCAGGGGCCCAAGGACCTGGGTCATCTTTTACTGCTATCCCAGGCCATAGCAGAGAGCTGGATAGGAAGAGGAGCAGCCGGGACTAGAACTGATGCCCATATGGGATGACAGCACTTCAGGCCAGGGCTTTAACCCGCTGTACCACAGTGCCAGCCCCAGTTGCTCCACTTCTAATACAGTTCCCTGCTAATGGTCTGGGGAAGCAGTGGAAGATGACCCAATGCTTGGGCCCTGCACCCACATGGGAGACCCAGAAGAAGCTCCCAGCTCCTGGCTTCGGATCGGCACATCAATGGCTGTTGCAGCTATTTGGGGAGTGAACCAGCAGATGGAAGACTCTCTCTCTCTCTCTCTCTCTTTCTCTCTCTCCCTCCCTCCCTCCCTCTCTCTCTCGCTCCAACACGGGAAGCAGTCCTATGCCTCTCTGTAACTCTTTCACATAAATAAAACTTTAAAATATGTATATAATGAATATCCTCTACTTAATACAACTTTGTTAATTCTCATGATACAACTCTTCGAGGACAGAGGGCCTGCATGGGAAGTTACTGCACAATGACACCTGTTGTTAATTTAACAATTAAAACTCTTATGAATGACATCACTGATTACCCAAGGCTCTTGACATGAGCTGCACAGGCTATGGAAGCCTTTTGAGTCCACAGTCTCTGTTAGTATTTAGGCAAGGCCATAAGCAAAGTGGAAGTTCTCTTCTCCCTTCAAAGCAAAGTACATACTTCTTTGATGGCCCCTTATTTCCACTGGGGTCTCACTCAGAGATCCTTCATGTAGGACATTTTTTTGCCACAGTGTCTTGGCTTTCCATGCCTGAAATACTCTCATGGGCTCTGCAGCCAGACCAGAATGCCTTAAGGGCTGATTCTGAGGTCACAGTGCTACTTAATACTATTGTCATTCTGTAAGTCTTCTGTGGGGACTGCTTTCCATGTTGGAGCATTCACTCCTTTTTAATTCTATTATTATTATAATACATGTAATCCTATCAATATGATCACTTTAACATTTAAGATTGTATTTTTACTACCCAGCTTAAGGGGATTTGGGATCTCATGGCAAGTTTTTAAATTGTACCCTTAGAAGAAAGTCTGGGCCGGCGCCGTGGCTCAATAGGCTAATCCTCTGCCTAGCGGCGCCGGCACACCGGGTTCTAGTCCTGGTTGCCCCTCTTCCAGGCCAGCTCTCTGCTGTGGCCCAGGAAGGCAGTGGAGGATGGCCCAAGTGCTTGGGCCCTGCACCCGCATGGGAGACCAGGAGAAACACCTGGCTCCTGCCTTTGGATCGGCGCAGTGCACCAGCTGCAGCACACCAGCCGTGGCGGCCATTAGAGGGTGAATCAACGGCAAAAAGGAAGACCTTTCTCTCTGCTCTGTCTCTCTCTCTCTCACTATCCACTCTGCCTGTCCAAAAAAAAAAAAAAAAAGTAAGTCTGTAGGAATGCGTGCAGAACTATACAGCTTTAAAGTTACAAACTTTATACACTTCATAATTACAACTTTAGGAACATGTTGATTTCCCACCATGCCTACCCTCCCATGCATACTCCCAGCCCTCTTACTCCTCCCTCTCTTATTTCCATTCTTATTTTTTACTGAGATACATTTTCAATTGACTTTATACACATATGTTTAATTCTGTGTTAAGTAAAGAGCTCAACAAATAGTATTTTTAAAAAAACTGTTCCTCAACAGTGAAGACAAGGACTATTCAAGTCATTGCTTCTCAAAGTGTCAATTTCACTTCTACAGATTGCCTTTTAGGTGTTCTATTATTCATCACAGGCCAGGGAGAACATGTGATATTTGTTGCTTTGGAACTAGCTTATTTCACTAAGTATGAAGTTTTCCAGATTCATCCATTTTGTTGCAAATGACTGTATTTCATTTTTTTACCACTGTGCAATACTCCAGAGTGTACATATCACATAGTTTCTTTATACAGTCTTCAGTTGATGGGCATTTATGTTGATTCCATGTCTTAGATATTATAAGTTGAACTGCAATAAATATGGGGGTGCAGATAACTTTTATTTGCTGATTTAATTTCCCTTGGGTAAATTCCCAGGTATGGGATGGCTGGGTTACATGATAGGTCTATATTCAGATTTCTGAGGTATCTCCAAACTGATTTCCATAGCAGTTTTTACCAGTTTACATTCCTACCAACAGTGGATTAGGGTACCTTTTTCCCCACATATTCACCAGCATTTGTTGTTTGATGATTTCTATATGAAAGCCATTCTAACTGGAGTGAGGTGAAACCTCATTGTGCTTTTGATTTGCATTTCTCTGATGGCTAGTGATCCTGAACATTTTTTTTTTCATGTGTCTGTTGGTCATTTTGATTTCCTCTTTTGAAAAATGCCTGTTTAAGGCCTTTGTCCATTGCTTCACTGGTTTGTTTTGTTGTTCACTTTTTTGATCTCTTTATATATTCTGGATATTACTGCATTATCAGTTGTATAGATTGCCAATAATCTCTCCCATTGTGTCAGTTGCCTCTTCACTTTCCTGAGTGTTTCATTTGCAGTACAGAAGCTTCTCAATTTGATCAACTCCCATTTCTGAATTTTGGTTTTGATTGCCTGTGCCTCTGGGGTCTTTTCCAAGAACTCTTTGCCTGTGGCAGTGTCTTGCAGGGTTTCCCCAATGTTCAATAATAATTTGATGGCATTGGGCCATAGATTTATGTCTTTCAACCATTTTGAATGGATTTTTCTGTAAGGTGAAAGTAGGGGTCTTCCTTTCTCTCTGTCTCTCTCACTATCCACTCTGCCTGTCAAAAAAAAAAAAAAAAAAAGGTGCGGGGGCCAGCGTTGCAGCTCACTAGGCTAATCCTCCACCTTCAGCGCCGGCACCCTGGGTTCTATCCCGGTCGGGGCACCAGATTCTGTCCCGGTCGCCCCTCTTCCAGTCCAGCTCTCTGCTGTGGCCCAGGAGTGCAGTGGAGGATGGCCCGAGTGCTTGGGCCCTGCACCCGCATGGGAGACCAGGAGAAGCACCTGGCTCTGGCTTTGGATCAACGCAGTGCGCCGGCTGCACTCTGCGCCGGCCACAGTGGCCATTGGGGGTTGAACCAATGGAAAAGGAAGACCTTTCTGTCTGTCTCTCTCTTGAAACGAAGGGAGGAAGGAAGGAAGGAAGGAAGGAAGGAAGGAAGGAAGGAAGGAAGGAAGGAAGGAAGGAAGGAAGGAAGGAAGGAAGGAAGGAAGGAAGAAAAATGGGGTCTTGCTTCATACTTCTGCATGTGGAAATCCAGTTTTCCCAGCACCAGCACCACTTGTTGAAGAGACTGCCCTTGCTCCAGGGATTGACTTTAGCTCCTTTGTCAAATATAAGTTAGTTGTAGAAGCTTGGGTTGATTTTTGGTGTTTCTATTCTGTACCACTGCTTTGTCCATCTGTTTTTGTACCAGTACCAGGCTGTTTTGATTATAACTGCCTTGTAGTATGTCTTGAAATCTGCTATTCTGATGCCTCCAGCTCTGTTTTTGTTGTATAAGATTGCTTTAGCTATTTGGGGTCTCCTGTGCTTCCACATGAATTTCAGCATTGTTTTTTTTCTGTATCTGAGAATGTCCTTGGTATTTTGATTGGTATCCCACTGAATCTGTAGATTGCTTTTGATAGTATGGACATTTTGATGATATTGATTCTTAGAATCCAGGAACATGGGAGATTTTTACATTTTTTGGTATCTTCTATTTCTTCCTTTAATGTTTTATAATTCTCAACATAGAGATCTCTGACATTCTTTGTTAAATTTATTCCAAGGTATTTGATTTTTTTTTTGTAGCTATTGTGAATGTGATTGATCTTAGAAGTTCTTTCTTAGCCATGGCATTGTCTGTGTATATAAATGCTGCTGATTTTTGTGTACTGATTTTATATCCTGCTACTTTACCAAATTCTTCTATGAGTTCCAATAGTCTCTTAGTGGAGTCTTTTGGATTCCCTATATATAGAAT